TTGGATCAGGAATGTCATCATCAAAGTTTTGTGGGCTAGGATGAGATCCACACTCGCTCACTTCCTCTCCCTCTTCATTTGCTTCTGTGTGGTCAGAACAGACTGGCCACTCTCCCCAGCCTATATTTTCAGTGCTGTCCTCTGTAATACATTGTTCTAGGGAGGGGATCAACATAGTTCGGATTGGGGCTGGCCCCCCAGTCCTCTCTGTTAATGCACTGCTCCATACCCATATATTGTCCTCAAGGCTTGACACACAAGAATGAGTTCTGGTTTCTCTCTCCCTTTCTTGTGGAGACATAAACAATACTCTCTCCATGGGTGGATTAGTGCCCTGTTCCCCGACCACCATCATTCCCCCAATGCTTGTTTTTTGTTGGATGCAATATGCATTCCTGGTTTGGGTCTGACCCCTGCCAGGGTATGTGGACCTTCACCCAGAAATTATGCATTAAGTAACTTGTCCTCTATGCCCATGTGCTTTTTGTGCTTACCTCAGTGGACTCATGTTGTACTTATCCTTTTGCATTTGGCTAATTTCACTTAGCATAATTTCCTCTAACTCTTCCCATGAGACGATATGCTTCATGCATACATCATTGCTTTTTCAGGGATGCATAGTATTCCATAGGGCAAATCTACCAGGATTTTCTAATCCATTCATCAATTATTGGACATTTAGGTTGTTTCCAGATGTCTGGTTATGGTCTGTTTCTTACTTCTTCTGAGTATATGCCCAGAAGGGGGATTGCTGGGTCATATGGTAGCTCAATTTCCATCTGTTTTAGGTATTCCCAAATCGATTTCCATAATGGCTTTACATACCTACAGGACCACCAGCAGTGGATAAGTGTTACTGTCTCACCACAAACCCTCCAACTTTTGTGCTTTCACATTTTCTGAATTGGACTGTCTTTGAGGGTGTTAAATGGTATTGCATAGTTGTTTTAATTTGTATATCCCTTATGGATAATGATCAGGAACATTTTCTCATATATTTATTGGCCATTCAGGTTTCCACCCTTGTGACAGTTCTGTCCAGGTCTTTTACCCACCCCCTCAATGGTCTATTTGTTTTTTTTCTTATTGTAGATTTCAGTAATAAGGCCTTTGTCTGATGTGGCATTACTAAAGATGTTTTCCCAATCTGTGGGCTCTCTTGATGAAGTCTTTCAATGTACACAAGTATTTTATCTTTAGTATACCCCACTTGTCAATTTGTGCTTCCTCTGTGTCTACATCCTTCCCAATTTCTGGTAGATTATGTATACTCTGCCCTAAGGTTCTTAGGTTTGTCCCAATTCCCTCATTGATGTCCTTAATAGTTTAGAGTTTTACCTTGAGGTCTGTGATCCAGCTTAAATTTGTGCATGGAGTGAGGTTATGGTCTTGTTTTATTTATCTGCTGGTAGATATCCATTTTTCCAGCACCACTTGTTGAAGAGGGCATCCATTTCCCATTGGATATATTTTGGGCCCTTATCAAAGATCAGTTGTCTGGTAGCTGCTGATTTTATTTCTGGGCTTTTTGTTCTTTTCTAGTGTTCTGAGTATCTGTCATTATACCAGTACCGCACCATTTTGACTACCGTGGTTATATAATAGTTGTTAAAGTCAGATAAATCAAACCCTCCAACTATGTCCTTCTTCTTGAGGAGTTCTCTGCTAATTGTGGGCGTCTTCCCTTTCCATATAAAGTTGGTGGTCAATTTTTCCAATTCTTTGAAGAAAGATGTTGATACAGCATTAAAGATATATAGTGCCTTGGGGAGTGCTGACATGAGCATGGGATATTCTTCCATTTGTGGAGGTCTCTTTTGGTTTCTTGTAATAGTGTTCTGTAGTTTTCCTTGTACAAATCTTTTTGGTTTTTTGGTTAGGTATATCCCTAAATATTTGTGCTTGGCTATTGTGAAGGACACCACCTTTTTAATTTCCTCTTCCATGATCTTATGCAATATATATAGCAATCCAATAGACTTCTGTTTGTTGATCTTGTACCCTGCCACTCTACCAAATTCCTCTATCAATTCCAGCACTCCTATTGTGGAGCTTTGGGGGTTTTCAATATATAGAATCACGTCATCTGCAAATAACAATAGTTTTACCTCTTCTTTCCCCAGATAACTACCTTTAAAGTCTTTCATTTGCCATATGTTGTCAGCTAGGACCTCAATATGATGTTGAATAAAAGAAACTGAAGAAAACGAGAACGATGTCCGATGATATGAAGAGGATCAACACTAGAATGATTGGAATAGGGACAAAAGGCATCCTTGTATAGTCCCCTTTTTGATATTATGGAAAAGAAATAAATAGAAAACGTTGAACTGTCTTGATATGTCAAAAGTGAGGTGGAATCAAGAGCATAAAATTGGTGAATTAAGTTAGATTATGGTTTGGGGGATACCGAATAGTCCTCACTTCCTGTTGTCCTGATAATAAGACAGCCCCCTCCAGCTCTAGGGTTATTGACATGATAGTAAGAAAAGTTACATGCTAAATGAAGTAAACCATCCATAGATTATCCCAGACTTGGTGATACACTTACACAGAAAAGGAGGTTTGTGCCCTACAAAAAGGCATGAGGTTAGAAAAGGAAGAATGGGTTCACTAGAAATCTATGCCAATCCATTTTCAAATTGCTGGTGCCACTTTGAAGTAAGCATTGGGCTTCTAACCCCAGGTCAGTGTTTCAAACTCACTAGCCAGTCCACAGGAGAATTATGAGGCTGTCTACTCCTGTAAAGATTAAAGTCTCAAAAACTCCATATAGGCCGATGGTGTGTTGAAATCAACTCAGTTGCAGAGGCTCATAAACCCACTGGGAATCGGTAGGTAGTGCAACCAGGTGGCACACTGAGCTGCTACACCAGACACCGGAAGGTCTACTCCATGGAGACTCTATACTTTTGGAAGCAGCAGCCCTCGGAGCTGCTGTTCCAGTGCACAGTTCTCGGGCACATGTGGCATCGCCGTGGGCTGGACGTGACTCAACAGCATCTGGTTATAGACCTGTGGTTTGTCTCCATGGCACTGGTTGGGTCATCGAAAGAAAAAGAAATCAATGGAGAACACTGGTGCCTACCAGCAAACCTCAGGGGCCCAGAGGTGAAAAGTGGTGAAGTGTCCTCTCTTGGCATCGGAGTTAACGTCTGTGACTTTATCAGTCTTGGTAGCCCACTGGATCTCTTGCTCTTCCTGCCCCTGATGGAAAACCCAGGGGCTGTAGCCCTACTTTGGGAATATAGTTCAGGGAACAAAAGAGTCAGCAGTTAGAGAAGATACTTTTATTATTTTTTTAACATATCTGAGGTATCTAAAAGTTGGAAATATAGGAGTAAAACTAAGGAAATTAGTCTGACTTAATGAGATGTGAGCATTATGGCTCAGGTCTTATGCTTACTGCACTGAGGAACTTTGGTTGTTACAGAGAAGAGGATCTGTTTACGTCTATACTTAATAATATGTCAAATCCTGCATTACACTGAGAATGGCTGTGCTTTAGTTGAAAGGTTTCTTATTAAGTGACATGGACAAACACCTTTTAAGGGGAAGTGCCCCTCAAGCTGCAGAAATAATACAGGATGAGTGTGGCTGATTCCTCTTCTCTTCACTTGTTGATTTATATGCGATTTATTTCACGGAGGGAGGGGACATGGTTATGTGAATTTTTACAAATGCTTTTAGAGTTATGGAAATGGCATTCATTTCTATCATTCAAAACAGCTCCTTTGCTGCCCTTTATAATCAAACTACACCCACAATCTCTAACCCCTGGCAACCTCTTATCTGTTTTGAATCGTTGTTTTAGAGAAAGAATTGATATGCCATTGGGATTCATTCATGTAATAACAACAGTAATACTCCTAATGGTAAACTGAAGATAGGTTACATGTTTCTAAGATGCCAAGCAGAATTTGAAGCACCTTTTTGATGAGGAAGGTATTGGAAAAGAAAGACAGTTTGGGAAAGCTGTAGAGGGGAGAAGAAGAAAAAAAATTTGCCTGAGAATGGCAGTCCCTGGCTTGGGCCCAGGTATGTTGGACTCCAAGCTTTATTTTCTTGATATCTATCTTTTTTTACTTCCAGAGATGATACACAAAGTAGAACACAGTGGGGAGAATTTTAGGTAGCTCCTTTTAGAGTTTAGAATGCCTTACTCTAAAAGTACATATAAGCATTAGCTTAATAATAACAACAACGCAGCACTTGGGTATAGGATCAGACCCATCTGTCATCTTGTGGTGACTTGCATGTTATTATGATGCTGGCAGCTGTGCCACTAGTATTTCACATACTAGCCGGTGACTGTGGTGAACAGGTGTAAGCAGGGCCTCCATAGCCAAACTAGGAAGAAAGTGCTGGTAAAAAGTCCCCTAGATTAAAGGGCAAGATACAATCATTGCAACAAGGGACTCAAATATACCAACCATCATGCTAATGCTATACATAAAGTCACCATAAGTTCAAGCCCACTTGCCAGCAACTAACCACAACGAAAATAAAATGAAGCCCCGGTTCCTCCTTTCTGATCACAAGGATCTACATTTAACCTCCACCCTGGGGGATGGACAACAGAAAAGTGGATGAAGGGAGACGTTGGACCATGTAAGATATGACAAAATAGTAATAATTTATAAATTATCAAGAGTTCATGAAAGGGAAACCAGGAGGTGGGGAGGGATGAGGACCTGATACCAAGGGCTCAAGTAGAAAGCAAATGTTTTGAGAATGATAATGGCAACAAATGTACTTGACACAATGGATATATATGCATTGTGATAACAGTTGTACGAGCCCCCAATAAAATGATGCCCACTCCCTGAGCAAACATCCTCACAACCTGGGTAATAATAGGCAATGAGATAAAAGGTCCAAAACTAGAAAAAATCTGTTTCAATCCTGAATTACTTTCTCAGAGCTCCAAGCACCAACTTGCCCTTAGATTTACCAAAGAGTTGAACAGACTCCCTAAATTTCATCCATGTATATTTCAGGTTGGAGTCCCCCACCAGGTCTCTGGTGATGGAGGCCCCCAAAGGAGTAGAAATAAATGCAGAAGCCGGCAACCTGGAAGCCACGTGCAGAACAGACCTGAGGCTGGAGTCCAAAGATGGAGAGGTAAGGGGGAGAAGAACGGAAGCTCAGGGAAATTTCACTGCCAGGCCAGCAGCCCTCAGCCTAGTGTGTCAGCGAGCTTGACCCTGTCCTGTAGCAACAACCACAAAAAGAACCAACCTGAAGATTCCATTTCCAGAATGAAGTATTGAGCATCATATTATAAGCTAAGTCCACCAAATAGTTATGATTCATTGTTCATAACCTGCTGAGATAACAACATGTATTTCAAGGATAGAATTATGTAGCTGTACAAAAGGAATGTTATTTCCAATTTTTCTTTGTCTTCATAAAATAAGATATCGTGCAACCCATTAAAATACCCATTACCATTAAGTTGATTCCCACTATCGCCACCCTCTAGGAGACAGTAGACTTATTCCTTAGGGTTTCCTGGGCTGTAATCTTTACAGAACCACACGACCACATTTTTTTATTGGGTTCAAAACACTGGCCTTTCAGGAAGCAGCCAAGCCCTTAGCCATTGTACCACCAGGCTCCTTAAGGTAGTTAATCAGCACAGCTAAGCTGTAGACCACACACATGCGGCTAAATATGACCCAATTACTTGGTTAATTTCCAAACTTGGGTACTGTTCTATTGTTCATTGAGAATGGACTGCCGTATCCATGAACTACTCCAAACCACCTTTTAACTAGGAAGAGAGGCAAGAACATTAGAGACTCATTCTCTCACTTCAACACAATCACAGTTAGATGAACAAAACAACGGTTTTGTGTTTTTGCTAACTAGTAAGTTAAGTCTTCAAGGAAAATGGAATGACCCTATTCACAAATAAAAAGAGAAGAAAAAGACAGTTTTTGACTTGTTTTTTTAAAAGCAAAGCTCAACTCCACCGTTCATAACTACTTTAAGTACTTTCCTCTGTACAGCATACTGCCTTTTGATTGACTTGGCATTTACTATAATTGTTTAAAGCATTAATCATATAGAGCATTCAATGATCAGAACCCTTCAAAAAATTCTAAACTCTACACAGTTTAAAATAGTTACCACCTCACAGAGTGACTGCCTCACAGTTCACAGTTATCAGACTTTGGACCTCAGACAGAGTTCTCTTTCATTATAAATCCAATAGCACCTTCCACTATTGTTCAGTTTTTTGGCCTATATTTCTCAAAGTAATCCTCTGAGGTTCACCAGATAAGTTATTTTAAAAAGGAGGGGGGGAGGGGAAAGCTCACTGTTTACTTAACACTGGGAAATGCCAAATTCCCAAGTGTCTTCTTGAAGCTTCCACATGCACACAGACATATTTGGGATCTGAGAGGCCCATAGTAAAGAGAACAGGTAACCCGTTAGCTTCACATTTGTTTAACTCCAGGACTCTGGTCACATCTTTCCTCGGACACTTTGGCAAAATAGCAATCTAGGCCAACACAGATTGCTGTTACAATAAATGCTTTCATGAAGATAGACACTTTTTCCCATTTGTACAAATCTCCCACTACCCAGAACACTCCTGAGGCTCCTGGCTGTTAACTGAAAGTTTGGAGTTTTTAGTACCCACAGAAGTGCCTTCAAACAAAGGCCTGGAGATCAACTCCTGAGGAGTAGCCATTGCAAACCCTAGGGACACCGGTGCAAATCCCATGACACACCTAGAGCCATCCTGAGTCTTCATCAACTCAATGGCAAATGGCTACTGGTTAGAACACTCAACAGGTTGTAAGTGGCCATGAAGGTTAAATTGAACAAGTGATTACTCATTTACTATTTCTGAATGTCAAAATAAATGACAGCCTCTAATTGACTCTCTCCTTCCTATTCACTCACTTTAGATTAAGTTAGATGCTGCGAAAATCAAACTACCTAGACTGCCTCATGGATCCTACACGCCGACGGGAACGAGGCAGAAGGTCTTCGAGATCTGCGTGTGTGCCAATGGAAGATTATTCCTGTCCCTGGCAGGGACTGGTTCCACTTGTCAGATAAACACAAGTGTCTGCCTTTGAAAGACTATCCATAGTGGACATTGTAGGCAGTATAAAGGCCTTTTTTGGCTTTAGACACTGGCTGCCAGCTATTTTTACTAGAACACAGAAAGCCTATCAAAGACCTTTTGTGTGTGTGTGTGTACATGCGTGTGTGTGTGTGTGTGTCTGCAGGTGTGGGTGAGTATAAATATATATAAATATATATAGATACATATATATATCCTCTGTATAAAATGAGGTTTCAGTACAAAAGGAACCATGGGTGACCCTGTGATCTCCACTGTCATTTCCCACCCCATCTTCACCACCTACAATGAGGAAATTGAAATGTCCTAGAACACTAGGTGGAAGCCCAAGTTTTCCAGACCACTCAAATCACAAAAGGTGTCAAACACTTATAGCAGTATTTTCCTACCGTATACATTTTCTTTACCACATAGAAAGGCAGTGATGGCGGGAATCTCCAAGTCACAATTGGGACCCTTGTGTTAAAAACAGAACCAAGTGTCCATTTTTCAGTTTTACATAAGCCTGGCCAACTTGCCCACCACTCTTCACGGAGGCAAGAGGCAGTGCCACACAGTTCGCCATAGGGGCTCCGAAGGGCTGTCCTACGTTTGTAGTGAAATGTAATGGGGCCTTTGCAGTTCAGTACAGGAGGGGGAGGTATTGTAGCTGATTTTTAAATGCTCCTCCAGTTCCTGCTTGCTTCCTCTGTTCTTCCTCTATCAGACTGAGGGTTGCAAATCAGCACACAGTAGGGAAGCAGCTGCCCCTCAGCTGGCTAGAAGCGATTCAAAGGCCTGTCAGGCAAAGAACAAGAAAAAAAGGCTCCAAAGTCCTCCCTTCTGATTTTACCCAGTAGCATCTAACCCCCAAAAGATCAAGGGGGTCAAAATCCTTAAGAGCAGAAACACCACCCCCATGAGAAGCCATTTTGAGCCAGAAGCCCAATGAAGAGGTACCTAGGAAACCTCGTTATTTTAAATGTCTTGGGAGCAGTAGGCATTTAAAGACATGCCTTTTATTTTTAAAGGCATGGGCAAACTCTCTGGTTCTGATCTTTTTTTTCTCCCAGTGTGAGGATTGTTATCAATCCACTATTACATTTTCTCCAAGAATAGTTACCCAAGAACCACAGATGTTAATTGTTCACTGGAAGCTAATGTCAACAGCCCAGTATCTTTATCAGAATCACTGTGTCCCCTATAGATAGAAGCAGCCCTCTAATTCCCGCCATTAGCTACCTCTCATCACTTCACCTTCATCATCACGCTCCAGGGTCACCCTGGCCACTCTTGTGCTGGGACAGGGGATTACACCATCTCTGTTCAAAGAGGGGGAAATGTGCCTATGCCTTAAGTCAATGCACTCAGCAAGGAGAAGCACATCCTATTTACCTTGTTGTTACCTGTAGTTTCTTTTGAGTGATTGGAGGGAAAGGATTTAGGAATGACTGAGTGTCTTAAAGGCTGCTAGCAAACCAAGTGGCTGTCAGACGTGGATTCTAAGGAACTGAGCATGGAAATTAAGTGGCATACACAGTCCTGAATACCATTTGAAGTTGGATGCATATTTATGGACAAGATGGATTTTTTTTTTCCTTCAACAAGGTTCTAAGTTTTCCTAATTCACAAGCAGGAGAAAGCTTATCACAAGAGATGAAACTAAGAGGATGTTTTTGAGATGATGTTCAAGCAGGAGACATTTGCATCTGTGGGAGATAGAAGCTGTCGCTACTCACTCACTTAGTTGGAGGGGTCAGGGATTGAAGCGGATCTGTGGCCCTGCCGGCTTACACACTCCAAGTGCCCTCCAGCCGCCCTTGCTCCAGCCCCTGTGGAAGAGGTCAGTGGTTCAATGGCGAGATCGTAGATTGCCTAGTCTGCAGCACCAGGGTCTAAAACGGAAAACCGCAGAATGACATCAGGTTACTATGGATCATTCCGATTAAGATCCCGGAGGATCGTGCTCCAGAACCTGCATGTGTCATCTCCAGGGTCTTGACAAGCCAGAACAGGGTCTTTTTGACTGTTAGGAGCACCTACTCCATGTCTTTCAGATACACAGTGGTAGCTCTGAGGTTTTTCGTGGCTAAATACCTTAAGACAAGCTAGTTTGGGTTTTTTAGGAAGACAGAAACCCTTTGTATTTTGCTATCTGAAGTACATAATCTGTGGAGGACTTTTCCCTTTGATTTTGTTCTAACCATTACATGGAAGTCTGAGAACAATACCTTAGGAGTTGTATCCAACTTTTTTTTAAAAAGAGGAATTGATATGATCCTACTTGCAAAATTTAATCCTGAAGATAGATCAGATACTGGAATGAGAATAACAATAGAAAACAATAATATAAATCACCTACCTTTTGGGGACAGATGTGATATAAAACTGATTTTTATTTGTGTTAAGAGACCTTGATGTGTAAGGGAATAAGCAGGAAATTAAATTTTGTATTTCACTTTAGAATGTAGAAACCTGTAACAATGCATTCTAAGTTCTCCAATGTACTTTTTGTTTCTCTCTCCCAAGTCCTTCCAACTAGAGTATTTGTCTATGGTCATGAGAGAAAGCTTTATCTGAATTCTGGAAAAAGATAGCTTTTACATTAAAATTTGCTAACCATTAATAAAAACTGAGATTCTTTCTAATCTTTATACACAATATCTTCTAGACAACCATACTTTGCAGTCTATTAAGCAGCAGGTGGCAAAGCAGAGTTCAAATTAATCTTCAATGTTCCAGAATTTCTAGTATGCTAACATTCTTCAGAGGACTTTTATAAATTAAAAATCTATCTTCAAATATGTTTATCAATTAGTTCTACTTGGTATCTTCTCAATATGTCATAAAACTGAAGTCTTAGGAAACTGATAAAATACAATAGAGGTGTTCTAGGGGGAAATTTGATGGACAGCTTCACTATTGTTATCTTACCCAAGAGATAGATCCTGTAGACTTGAAGTGGCTCTTAACTTTCTTTAGATCATTTTTTCCCATTGGCTAATTTTCAATACACATCTTAAAAGTTTGACAAGCATAGACCAAAGACCACTTGAGGTATGACTCTAGAGTAGAGGTTAGAAAACTATGGACATTGAACTAAATTCAGTCCATTACCTGTATTTGTCAATAAAGTTTTATTAGAACACAGATACACATTTGTTTATGTAATGTCTGTGGCTGCTTTTGTTCAACAATAACAAGGCTGAGTAGTTTTGAGAGAGACTGCATACCCTGGAAAGAATAAAATGCAACAGTTTGTGGACAAAAATGAAATGAAAAGGTAGCAGATTTTTTCCCCCCACAAACTTTTTGAAGCCTCCTCATACTTACTCTTTGGTCATTTATACAAAAAAGTTTGCTGACCTCTGACCTAGAGCATATACTTGTGGTTTGTTTTGGATAGAGCCATGGAGAAAACAGATTGCATGGCGTTCATTTTCATGCATAATATAAATACTTGGTTCTGAAAAGGAAGATTGTAAATCCCACTGTATACTCTATGTAGAAATTAGCCACTTGTCTGAGAAATTTAGGTTCAAAGGATTTTTAGGAACAAATTAAAGGATGAAATTAAAGCAAGATTTATTAGGGGTGGGGGTGCAGAACCTGTTATCTTTTGATTGTATTCCTCCACCCCGCCCCACCCAAACACCAAGACCTCAGTAGATAAGTAAGTGGTTCTTCAGCTTAGCATCACTGGTTTAATTAGAAGTAAAGTAGGGGTCCTATGATTTAAATTTATACTTTCATTCCTAAAGGGTTTCTTTGTGCAATCTATCCTCAGAAGTTTCCATCCCACCTTCCCATATTTCAGAAAGATAAGCATTTCAGTACCCTCCATAGAGTATGTTATTTCACATATTTCTTCAGCATCCATCACCTTAGTTATCTATACCTCAGAGCATTTACTGTAATGAAAACACAAACCAACCAATAAACAAATATTGGAAAAAAGCATCATAAATACATGGGAGGGAGGAACACAGTAAAATCCTTTTGAGAAGCTATGAGGAATTAGTTTAAAGTCAACTGGATTCTGTTTTCTAGAGTCTGAGTCTCTGTTCTTTGGAGTAGAGAAAGGGAAAACTGACATTTTTTGCATTGCACTTTCTTTGCCACCATGTGGAAAGGTAGGGTCTAATCACAGAGATTTGTCCATTCAATCTATATCCCCATTTTTAATCCAGAGCTCCATATTCATATTTAATAATGTTAAAATATAATCCCTAATGAATGACAAGATTTCACGTAGGGGAGGAAAGGTTGTCTTTTTTGTTTCTCATGAAAATCACCACCATATTCCAGGCCCTGATCAATGTCACTTAAGAGAATTTTCAGCATTTTTTTCTAGACACAACAGAAAGAAGATTAAGCTGACAACGGTGCCCTGTGCCAGGGCAGCAGCTTTGTTAGAAATGTGTTGCCTTTGTTTGGGCCAAACAGATAAACAGATCTATAGAAGCATCAAAACCTTACTGCTGAGGGATCTCTAAAAGGTGAAATCTCATTTAAGTCAGTTGTAAAATAAATTCATCTTCCACTCTTTTCTCTAGCACCAGGGGATCTTAGGCACAAAAAGAATAACAGAGCGGTTCCTGGAATGATACATTTGCATGGCACCCCAGTAGCAGGGTGTCGGAAAGTCCTAACAAAGGAAATAACGGAGCAAACAGGCCTTTCATCTCAAAGATAACACTGTCTCTCTGCGTCTTTCACCACTTTCTCCTTGGTGGAAGGTTTCCCCAGGTTCCAACATATTTCCATTAAAAAAGTCAAAGCTACTGCATGGGGATGTCAGATGCATCTCTTTCTTTTAAATAATCCGAATTTAAAATTATATAGTTGCTTCTGAATTCCTCATTCACAAAGCCAAACCATCGATGAGAGATAAAGCCGCCCGAAGCCTGCTGCTCCAGCCAGCACTGCACACCACCAGCATTAGCGCTTTCAAAAGCAATGTGATTTCTATGGCTCTTAAAAGCTTTCTTCATAACGGAGTCCTTGATATTTTTCAGCAGGTCTGAACGGCAAAGGGAAAATAATTATTTGTGGGAGGCCCTCACTTTGGGTATTGGTAGAGCACAACTATAGAAGAAAACATCCACTTTGGGGTGACCCACATTCAACCCACGTTCACACATTGTTTTCTTAGTTTAGACTCCCCTTCCCTTGGTAAGTACTGACATAGTAAGAAATTAGCATCCCTCTGTGAAAAAGAGATTAAGTCAAGAATGACCCCTGGAAGCCTTAGGAAGTATGATGTCATAACAATTGTAATGATACCGATTCTGTCAGTAAATAACTTCAACTATACCAACAGCAATGTCTCACTCCTCCCTCAATTTCAGCCTAGCAAGCTGTAAGGCATTATAGGCACCCCTTCCCTAAGGTTTGTAATTTGAATGGAACAAAGGGAAATTTGCCACAGTCAAAAGGCATCTTTAGAGTCCAAATCTATTCTAGCCCCTTGGAGGCCAGTAGTGTTCCAGGTGTCTGTTTCAGGTCATAGTTTCTCACAAGCAAGCGAGGGGGTTATGCTTCGATACTGAGCATGAACTCTATTCAGCGAAATGAAACAAAGATGAGGTTGCCTCTTTGGGAGAAGAGAATGGAAAATCGTTTACTTAAAGTCTGCTCTTCACTCCCGGAGATGTGTAGTCGTCCTCCTTCAAATGGCTTTCCAGCCTACGTTTAGATGGCGTCAAGGCAATCGGAGGTCTCGCGTGTTTCATGAAGTGAGAAAGGGCAAGCTGCTCTGCTAGATTACACCAGCTCTATGTCAAGGGAGCCTCTAAGGCAGCGGTGCTCAACCTTCCTACTGCCACAGCCCTGTCAGACAGTTCCTCATGTTGTGGTGACCCCCCAACCATAAAATTATTTTCATGGCTACTTCATAACTGTAATTTTGCTACTGTTATGAATTGGGTGACCCCTGTGAAAGGGTGGTTTGACCCCCAAAGGAGTTACAACCCACAGGTTGAGAACCACTGCTCTAAGGGCAGGAAGACAACATGTGTCGACAAGGAAGATGCCTGTGTTTCAATGAATCCTCACATTTTTATAACTCATAGGGTTCTATGAGAACTTCAAAAAGTTTGTGAAAAAAAAGCCATTATCTTTCCATTTTCTCACAAGCTTGTATTATTGGAAGAGCATCCGGGATCTCTTTGTGAAGTGGAGTAAAACTACAGAACCTATACCCCCAAAGAATAACCCTTAGAGATTTCTGTAGAAAATGAATTAGATTGTCTTGAAGCCAAAGCCTTGTTCTAAAACATGAAAAGAGTTGGTTGGGATTCTATTCTCCAATTATTACAATAATTATTAGTGTTGTTTAGTAACTAATATCTATTGAGCATTTGTTCTGTGCTGGACACTGGGCTTTGTATTTTGCATCTGGTAGCTTATTTTCTCTTCAAAGCAGTTCTTTCAAGTAAGTGGTTCTACTTGTTTTAGTTTGCATAGGCAAAATCATGAGAGTAAGAAACGCTAACTGACTTGCCCAAAGCCCATTCTAGGGAATGGCAGTACATCCCAGGATGTGCATCTGACTGCTGACCATGAAGCTATGGCCCATCCCTGGGTACTAACATCTCACATTTGTTTTCAAGCTATTTGGAAGTGTCTCCTTCCATTTTCAAATGAGACCGTTTTGAATAAAGAAGGCCAGGCAACTTGTCTCTCATTGATTTCTGGAGTCTCTCAGCTCTGGTGGCAGCTCAGTAAAGTATAGATCCATACCCAGAATGGCATTTTATATCAACAGTCTTCTTGAATACTACTATCTGGAACCAAAATATAAATTCACTCTGTGTGTGGTTCTTGTTAAATCAGGCATTTTACATTGAAAGACATCAGGCTAGCCATCTTCATATTTGATAGAAAATTGTAATGATTTTCCAGTATGACTGGAGCAAGTCAGCATTGCCACACATATTTCCTTCCCACACTCCTCATTTCAGAAGACAAATGTTGTCTTTGGTGATGTCTTTGACCACAGTTGGTTATCTCTTTCCCTACTCTCATTTGTGGCCAAATTCAAGGAAAGACGCAACTACAAGGGGGATCAATCCCTCTCAGTGTCCTTGTTTCCCTGCAATGCGACATGATTAACAAGACTCTAATAGTATTAAGCATTCACTTATTGGACACTACCTTGGACCTCACACCTGGTCAGCCACCGTTAATGTCCCCCACCCTTTCCCACATGCATATTATCTTCACAAAAGTCGTGACTAACAATTGCTCTGATATAAGAATAAAACCCATCTGCTGATTTAACTTGACCTTGCACACTTTATACTGGCATTCTAGATTCAGCAAAGAGGCTCACAGCATTCCAACTAAGAAAGGGACAGAGAAGTGCATCACAAGGTCCATACATGAGGTGGCTTTGGAGCACTTTCATCTTCTGAGTAAAGGGATCAAAGTTTAATGTATAAGAGTTAAAAGACATTAGATCAGTTTGAAGTATTAACACAGCCAGGAATTTTTCAAACAGGTTATAAACCAATGTGCCCTTGGCAAACTCCTGCTATCAACCTTCCCACCCTGGCCTGAAAGGGCCACAGCAGCAGAGAGACTGGGGTTCATACTGCTTTTATGAGTGAGTGACTGCGCCCAATAGGCTTAGCACAGTGCTAGTCAGGGTCCTGTGTGCACCCTAGTATGACTCAACCTCCCCATAAAACTTTATTCAAGGGATGAGCTAGGCTAATGTTAAGACCCCATTTTGAAGAAAGTGAGTCAGGGAACTTCTTTTTTGATGGTGTAGGTGTTAAAATGGCAAGGCAAACCTGGGTACATTTCAGTGGTCTTATGGAACTAGCAGTAGCAGAATCAGAAAATATGTTCTCTGGTAGGGGAGGGAGATTCTAAGAAAGGAAAGGGAAGAAGAAGCAAATTTGGGTGGAAAGAACACCTAATTTTTAGCTCATAGTTTGTGGAGGAGGGAGATGTTTCCATTAGTTCAGTACCTCCCCAGTTCCTTTCGCGCACCTCTCTCAGAGGTCACGCCGTGGACAGAAAAGAGAGAGGACACCCACCCTTGTGCTGATCTGAGGCTCTCCTAAAGACACTGGTGCTGTCAACGGGGAAAACGGTCATAGAAGTCCCATTTGCATGGAGATTTTGAGAATGGAGCCTCATT